TGGAAGATACAGTGAGCTTGTCATGCCTGCACCTTAACTTCTGCTAGTGGGCAAGGGCCTGGGCTCTGGAGGGAGGGTCTTGTCCTACCTGCAAGACAAGGGGTTACAGTGTCTCATCTTCCTTGGTTTCCTCAAAGGTACCCACTATTAGCAACTCCATCCTTGGCAATAAATGACCACATTTTATAGATGTGGGAATTGAGGCCAAGAGTCATTGTTATGGAGAAGATGAATGAGTTACTATATGCAAAACATTTGGAATTATGCCAAGCCCATAAAAAGTACTCTATCAATATTAGATATTTTTATCATTCAGTACAGTGGCAAGTATTGCATAAGGGGCACCAAGTGTTTGCTTGGGGCAATAGAAGTGTTTCGGAAAGAAGTTGTCATGAGGGTGGCACAATTTATGAATATAATTCGTATTCATGAAGTTCACACTTAAAATCATTAGAATGGCTAATTGTATGTTACATGCATTTTCCCAGACACACACAATAAAAGAAGCTAGGTGAGGTCTCTTAAGTGCGCCAAACAAAAGAAAAAAAATGCTGAAGTGGTGTATTTTGTGATCATAGAAGTCAAAAATAAATGAACTGCCCAGAAGAAGAAGGAAATAACTCACATACATGCTCTCTCTCTCTCTCTCTCACACACACACACACACACACACTCACTCACACACACACCATAGACTCAGGAAAGATAGCCTCACATTGTTCGTGGCAGTTATGTCTGGCAGATTGTATCAGGAGAAGAAAAGGAGGGAAGAAACGTTGGGCCTGTATATATGTGTTTTATGTACTTATGCAGTGAGCAGATACTGCATTTATAATCTAAACTTGAAGTTTTTCTTTTCTTCTTAAATCCTGCTGACCAGTGTTAAAATGCTGGCACCGGTACGGTTTGGGCAACCCAAATTGCCCTGTAAAATTTGTTTGCGTGCGTGCTTGCTCCAGTCTAACACCCCTGTGCAATGTTTAACCTGGAGTGAGGATTTAATTATACTTTAAAGCTCAAAGCAGTGTTCTCATTCTAGGCTAAATTATATCTTGTGGAAAAAACGCCTCTCAATATAGTAAGGATTTGGTCCCTCCATCATTGAAGTCTGGCTGCTCTGTCTAGTAATTTAGTGCAAAGTAAGAGGCTTCTATTTGTAATTTTGATGTCCTCCTTCTTTTGTAAAGTGGCTAAGGCACGGTGGTTGTGTAAAAGGGACTGCAGTGAGCACATGACATAGACATGTGCTCTACAACACAAAGCGTGAGCGTCAGTTAATAATAGGGTGTTGTTTAATATTGGTTCACAGAGCCCTGCCGGTGCCGTGGTGAGACACGCGGTCGATAACCAGCAGGTTGGCGGTTGGCACTCGCCCACTGGCTCCACAGGAGAAAGGGCTGCTCCTGGCAAGGGGACCTCAGCGCCCTCGAGCCAGTCTGACTCACAGAGGCCCCTGACGACAGAGTAGGAATGCTTCCTGGGCTAATGAGCGTGACTGGAAATCCTTTTGAGCGTGGATTCCCTCATCTTTCTCTCGAGGAGCTGCTGGTGGATTCGAAGCGCCCACCTGCAGTTCATTAGCAGCCAGGAACACCTATGGAGTCATTCGACTGTCACACAAGGGTCCTGTGAGT